CGGGGGAGGACGTTGTGGAGAGAGTGGTAGCACGGGCGGACGCAAAGGCTGTGCAGGCAGGACGGCGGCGAGACGAGGGTGTGGGTGACGCACGATGTGTGGTCCGGGAGACAACGACGGGTATAGTCGTTCCGTTCTTGGGCCTGCACTTGGCTCAGGGCCGACAGTTGCATCCGGTGCCGGTGGCAGTGCATGGTGTGCCGCCGCCTGTTATCACGGATTTGGGGTCCGAGCCGGTGGTTGCGCCACCGCGTCTTCCTAGTCACTTTGCTCCGCAGGAGGTCCGCCGTCCTTTGGATGCAGACGAGTTGGCAAGAGAGGCTGTCCGCGATGTGACTCGCTTGGACCGGCGGGTCTTTGACCAGAGGCTACAACATCCACCATGGCAGGCGATCCCTCCAGTTCCATGGGGTCCTGCATCGCCGGCGTGGTCTGGGTCTACCTCCACCGGAGCACGTACGGCGGGAGATGTTCCAGGAGTTTCAGGTGGCGTCGTGGAGACGGCGCCACGTACACAAGACATGCCACCCCCTCCTCCTAGACCACCTGTAGGTGATCCGTCATCGTCGCCCACAGGCAGAGGCTCTCGATCTCCACACACGCCTGGGAGGTCTAGAATTCGGGATACTACAGCCATTGTGGGAGACGTGAGTGACACAGCGTTGTTCGGGAGGACAGACATAGATTTGGATTCCACCCGCCGTGTCACGGAGCACACTGCACGTCTACAGCCGGGTTTGGGACCCCGTGGCGGCAGGATGACCGCAGCGAGGGAGGTAGCAGCATCAGGTTGTGAGCCTCAGTGAGGTCGCGGCAGAGGAGAGTCCGCCGATAGCTTGGAGTACGCTCTGATGGCAGCGACGCGTGCCGTACATGAACAGATTCCACGCAAGCGCGGAGTGCCTCCTCGTCCACGCCCCGTGCCCGCAGAGGGAGGAGATGCACTTGGAGAGACTTCGGGGGCAGAGGGGTTGGGGATGCCTCGTGGATCGCGCCGTGAGCAGATGGTTACAGAGGTTAGTGCGAGGGTTGTTGTGTTGAGGAAGGCAGGAGCCCCTGTCACCATCGAGGAGGATGATCCTGAAACAGATGTGGCAGTGCGGGAGGAGGACGAGGACTATAAGGGCGAGGAGGAGGGAGAGAAGGAGAGCGAGGGAGGTTCCGATGGTGACTACGACCACAACGAGCACGAGCCCCCACCTCCCCCACCGAAAGGTGCAGCCAGACGGCGCGCTGCGCAGACTTCTTCATCATCACGAGGGAGGAGTTCGACATCCGGCACGCGAGGGGGTACGAGGAGACAGAGCGGGAAGGGGAAGAAGCGTCGTTGACTGATGAGGCCAACACTCCTTTTTCCCCTGCTCGCACTGCGGTTCGTCATGTTGTGCGGTCCTAGTTTTTTTTGTCGTCTCGTCTTGTCTTAGTGTTGTTAGGCTCTCAGTGGTTGTGTGCGTGCAGCGTGCTACAAATGTATTAGATGATGTTTCCTTTGTTTTCGG